TCAGCAGACTTCTATGAATAGGTTCGTTAGACTATAATACACATACTATCCATAGAGACTGCTGTATTGCCAGCAGATTTCTATGTATAGGTACGTCAGACTATAAAACACATACTATCTACACAGACTATAAAACACATACTATCCATAGAGGTAGCGTTATATGGGACGTTAGGACTTTCGCACAAGTCGGTAAGTGGTCATCTGGAGCACGCAAGGCACAACCATAATATACAGTGACCTGTAGTAAGATGTCATGGAGCCAATACTCCGCACTTACGTTCTCTCGTTGGGCTACTCGCGCAATGCGTCAGGACAACCACAACTACATAGGCCAGGGTATAGGGTTAAAAACCATGATGAATCACCCGTTTCACTAGCACGGTTTGAGGCTTTATTTGTTCTTCATTTGAAACTTACTGATCGTCATGCGGTATTACTGGTGATCGCAGTGATCTGCCCACTCTACGCAATAGTCTGCTCCTAACCCAATATATAGGTTTTAGGGTTCTTTTTTAGGGTCCTAGGGTTTTAGGGTTTTCCTTCGCCATCAGCGTATCCCGTCACAACACAGTGCAGTGCTTCGTGTGTCATTCGCCTCATTGCACTCACACGGCACGTTCATGTCCACACAAAGTGGTTATTAGATTATGTGCACCACTTACGTACACACAAAGTGCTTATAGAATATGTACACCTCCAACTATGTCCACACAGTGCTTATAGATTATGTACACCACTTACGTACACACAAAGTGCTTATAGAATATGTACACCTCCACCTACGTACACACAAAGTGCTTATATATTCTATACACCTGCAATTATGTCCCCATAGTGCTTATAAATTATGTACACCAACTATGTCCACCCAAAGTGCGTATACGCATTGGACTTGCTCCATTGCACCACTGATAACTGACCCTCCCATGCAGCCTGCATCGCATCCGCCTCTCTGCGAAAGACTTATTCCGCGTCGGCGCGTGTGTGTGACGGAATAAGCGCCGCCTATTTCCTCACCCCCCCCTCCCCAGTTCGCCCTCGCACCCGTCCCGTTATCGCACCAACTTAATACGGTACTGCAACAGCAGGAACGTCAGCAACTGCCCCAACAGAAACAGTCCCGTCAACACGAAGATGTCCAGAGCGTAGTTCTCCACTTCAAATCCTAATTCATCCAGCAACTGGTTGGCCTCCACCGACAAGGCTTCAGCGCCTAGAGCTACCCCTTGGAAATTAATGTCCTGAGAGAAGGTGTGGGGTGTAGGTACGAGTGGGTGGTTGGTTAGGGTTGTAGGGTTATGTGGCTAGGGTTGTAGGGCTGTATATATAAGTACATGAAAATGTGACATTCTTTCGAGGTATGACGGTTGGCGACGGTTGGCGGTGACTGACAAACTTGCGGCACTGTTCTATGCTTAGCTTACGCACACAAGGTTTGTTTTACGAGCTTAGACAGACAATCGTACACACACACCATATCTTCATAAATAAGCATGTACACACATCATATCTTCATAAACAAGCATGCACACACATCATATCTTCATACACACGAGCATGCGCACACACCATATCTTCATAAACAAGCATACACACACACCATATCTTCATAAACAAGCACGCACACACATCATATCTTTATAAGCAAGCATGCACACACACACTGGCACTCCCCTATGGGCAATGCCTTGTGCGTGTGGGTGAGTGTACTTGGGTGATACAAAGCCAATCAAACAATTCAACCGCACGAGACAACGAGCGCCACGCAATGAGAACAAACGGTTTAACATTTGTCGCCAAACCGGACGCAGGGGAGAGCACAAGCACACACAAAACCGGTACAAATCGGTACGATACTTGACGCAGGAGAGAACACCCGCACACACAAAACCGGTACAAACCGGCACGATGCTTGACGCAGGAGAGAACACCCGCCCACACAAAACCGGCACAAAGCTGTGATATGCACGCACAGGCCACACCTTCAATTCGTTAATAACGAGTGCCTCGTACGCGTAGTTGAAGAAGCTCAGATAGTGCACCCAGGCAGCCCACGACGGCATAGACCCGCTATTGTTAAACAGGTTAGTCAGCGATAGAGACAAGAGGATCACCAACGACGCTACCAGAAGTGCCAGGGCTCGGTTGGTGATGGCAAGGCCCACGAGCATGCAGATAGACGCAGCCGTCAGGTTGCAGAGCGTCAACACCGTGATGAATCTGTGTGTGTGCGTGAGAAGAGAGAGAGTGTGTGTAAGTGTGGGTGTGGATGGGTGTGGGTGGGTGTGCAGGTGTGTGTGTGTGTGATGTGAAAAGATACATACACGGTATAATAAACTCGTATAGCACATACATACACGGCGAACAAAAGGAGAGACGTACGCCCTCACACAGCAGATACTTACACGACAAAGTGCACAAACCCAGCACGCATGTCCATGAGAAAGTAAAAGAGGGTGCCGGTGAAGATGGGTGGGATGATACGCAGCAGCACTGTGTCGAACAACAGTTTAGAGAGGAAGAAGCTGCCCGCTTGATAGAACCCATTCGCACGCTCGTGCAAAAACCTGAGACCGGTAGGTAGGAAGGAGAAAGAGGTAGGTATGAGACGGAGTGGTGTATTCAAATTATTACAGTTGGAGAAAGAGGTAGGTATGAGACGGAGTGGTATATTTCAATTATTACAGTTGGAGAAAGCGGTAGGTATGAGACGGAGTGGTATATTTAAATTATTACAGTTGATTGGGTTTATCGAAGCTACCAAGACTGTGCAATGCAAATTAATTGTTGAAATGTACGACTACTCATACGACATAGCCTGGTGAAACATACGACTACTCATACGACATAACCTGGTGAAACATACGACTACTCATGTGACTTACAAGACGCGCTCGGACTCGAAGACCTCCAGACAGGTTAGTCCTCCGAACGACAAGAACGCACACAGCAGCAGCAACGCACCCAGCTGCTGCTGCACCTGAGAAATGATCTGCCCATCCAAATTGTCCTGTAATGCCCCGACACCTGCAAATTCTCAGGTGAGAGACGAAGGTTAGTACTGCTGGGTGGTGTATGTGACATGATAATGTGATGTGGCTGTGTGGCTGTGGTGGTGTGTTGTGGATGTGGCACGTGAGTTGGTGGCGTAGGCGGACTTGGTATCGTTTTGCACTGTATAGAGCAGACCTTTCCTAACCTCTGTAAAGAGTTTACTTGCTTGCGTATGGTTCTAATAGACGGAGTTGGCTACAACGATATATATAGTCTGATTTTGTTTATGCATGTTTATATAAATGTGTAACACTGACAAATTACAATGCTAACACCCGCCGAGCAGGTTGAGGATAGATTTAGAAACTTGGTCAGAATTTGAAGACTCGGAAAATACA